CTCCTGGGCAAGCAGTTCCCAGGGGACTGAAAAGCCCTCATTCATCATGAGTTCCTGAAGAGGTTCAGGAGGCCACAGCTAGCCCTGAGAGGGGGACACAGACTGAGGCTTTCTGTGGGCCCACACCTGTGCTGGTCTGGAAGCCGAGGGTGGCCGCATAAAGAGAGTCTGTTCTTGGAAGGCTGTGGGGGTGCCCACCCCAAGCACCCCAGAGAGGCAGGATTGGAAGGAGGAGCCTTTGCCACCAACACCAAGTCCTGAGGGGCCCCAGTGCTCCAGATGATCAGTACTTAAGGTCAGAGAGAGGAGAGGAGGAAAACTGAGGATCTGCCCCAGTAGAGTGGGAAGGGCTTGGAATCTGGCATCCTGAGACCTGGGTTTAAGTCCCAGGACACTGACATAGAAAGACAGTGCAAGTAGAAGGCCCCTCATTTTATAGCTAAGGAAGCTGGGAGAAAGCAGCTGCCTAGGGGTAGAGCCAGAGAGAGTGGCAGGGCTGAGTGCTGGCTTGCACCACTGATCCACACTGCCTCTAAACAAGTCCCCACACTTTGGACGGGGAGAGCACTTGACTGGCCTGGTTTTATGGAGTAATTGGGGTGACTTTCTCAGAGAATGTCTCAGTGTGAGTGTGGGGAGGTGGGGATTGTGGAGGAGGGGGTGACCTCGGTTCAGGGGCAGCCTCTTGCTGGACCAGTAAGAGAAGCTCTGATCCTGTTGGAGGCATCAGTTGGCTGGGTAACCCTGGGTCTTCATCTGTGAAATGGGAATAAGGATACCTTGGGTGCCTCTAATGAGATCCTGGATGGAAAGGGCTTCTTCAGAGTGGATCCATGGAAGGGCAAGAGGGGAGGGGCCATCCCTTTGTGGCCTCCTCCTCCATTCTCCCACCACCCCATCTGAGAAGGAAGAGGAGGCCCATTGGCCCTGTGGGAGATGGAGTGTCCTTGGGTCCAGGGTTATAGATTCTGAGCCCAGGGGTTTGGGTGAGGTCCTTCCGTATTCGGGTGTCATTGACAGAGGGAAAGGTAGAAGAACCAGTCCTGAGCTTGGAGCGTGGGACCTGGGGTACATGTGGAATATTTCACAGGGGAAATGTCCTGGGCGTGAAGCCCCGGAGTCCCTGCCCTGGGGAGACCTCGGAGGGCAGCCCGGACCCTTGGAATCCTAGACGGAATGAAGACAGAATGGGGATGATCTAGACCAAACGTTCTTTTGACTGAGAAGGGGACCGAGGCCCAGAGAGAACACAGGCAGTAGCGGGAGGGGGGATTGGAACCTCTGTCCCCCCCCGCCACCCCTGGGACTCCAGAGCTCTCCCCTGTACCACAGCCCACCAATGCGCGACCAGCATCTGCTGGGAAGCCATCAGCCACGGGGAGCTCACTGCTACGATGGTCCAGGGCTTCTCTCCTCCTGCCGCCAGTCAGGTCTGCAGCCAGAGGATAGTATTCGTGGGGGGGTCCGGGACGTGGTAGAGGGTGGACACCGGGCTCTCCTGGCTCCCTGATTCCCCTCCATCCCCACTCCAGCGTCAATCAGTCCGACGTTGCTGCTCCCTCATGACGCGGCCCATTAGTGGCTCTTCACTGAGATGAGGACAAAGGGCACACTCCCAGCCGGGCTTTTCCCTGCCCTCCCAGGGGGCTCCTTTCACTGAGCCGCCGTCCCAGATTAGGCAGAGCAGGAGACTGGCGTAGGACTGGGCACACCCCTCCTCCCCAGGGCTCAGCCAAGGTGCCGCCTCCTCCTGGAAGCCTTCCCTGACCAGAGGACCTAGGTTCAAATGTGACTTTCGACACTTATTGTCTGTGTGACCTTAGGCAAGTGTCTTCTCCCTGGGCCTCAGTTTCCTCTTCTGTAGAATGGGCGGGGTTGAGGGATGGACCACTCCCGCGGCCTCTGCAGTCCTCTCTACTTCAAGATTTAGGATTCTGTGTGGTCAGACATGGAGACTGACCCCTCATTCCACCCCGCAATCCTTCATCCAACACTTTCCTGTGTCCCTCAATCTTTCTTTTCTTTTCCTCCTTTTCAAAGAAGGAATGGGATGGGGTGGGGGTGGGAAAACACCCACTTTCCCCTCACCTCTGGGGTCAGCAGAATATTCCCGGCTCCCGGGGCGGGAGGTCCTGGGCCAGCTGCCCTCAGAGCCTCCAGCTTGGCATCACCAGGGACGGAGCCTTCGTGACTCTCAAGGCTCCGAAATTGGAAGCCACCGTCAGCAGGGAAGAACCGTTTCTGCGTAATGGGTGCTTGGTGTTTTTCTCCCTCGCCCACAGGAAGCTCTGCAGAGTCTTAACTTTAAAATAATGATGATAATAACAATAACACGACAACAACAATAGTAATAATGATGATGATGATGATGATGATGATGATGATGATGATGATGATGATGATGATAATCTGGGATTCCCACTGGCAGGGCCATGGGGCTTTACATCCCCCCCCGGGCTGGAGCAGAAGGGACCAAGGTTCCCACATCTGTAGTTCTGGTTTAGAAGGCTTGGGTGGGAGGGGGAAGGTGGAGGAAGGCTGGAAGGGGGAGGAAGGCTGGAAGGGGGAGGAAGGCCGGTGCTCAGATCGATGGCGGCTGACTCACCGCTAACAGAGAGGCCCTCAGGAGAGGGAGGAGCATGGGCTGTGGAGATGAAAGGCCTGGGTTCCAATTCCAGCTCAGCCACCGCATGGCAAGGTTCTTGATTTCTTGGGCCCCAGGCTTCTCATCCTTATGAAGATGAGGGTGCTATAGGGCCCTTCTTGCTCTAAGTTCTAGGATTCAGGGCCTATTCCACTGAAGCTAACAAACATGGATTAGGAGCTAAGCTGTGTGCTAGGTTCTGAAGATACAGAACACATGGGAAGCTGTCCAGCCTTGGAGGATGGCAGGCCAAACCTAGAACCAATGAGGGAGAAGGGAGAGGGCTACAGAAAGCCCCCCCCCCAAAGGTCAAGAGAGGAGACGGTGGGGAAGCTTTAGTGCTGGGGCAAAGCTTCCCCGAATAGGGAAACAGGGTCCCACGCCCCTCCCAGGTCTCATCCGAAGTCCTGTGTCTAGCTCCGGAGGCTCTGGTGTCAGAAGGAGGCTGAGAAGCACCAGTGTCCAGGATGGCTAACGATCCTGAGTCTGTGTCATAGGAAAGCAGGCATGATTAGTCTGGCAGCCTGAGAGCTGTTTTCAGGTATTTGAAGGCTGTCATCCCAGAGGACTGAACCAGTAGCCATGGGAGGAAGATGTCAGGAAAAACTCCTTCCGTAAGAGAGCCGTCCCAGAGTCTAACAGGCTGTATTGGGTTGGACTGGATGGCCACTTTTGTCCCTTCTAACTTCCAAATCCTGCCATCGGTAGAAAGACAAAAGTAAAACCTTCCCTGCCCCAAAAGAATCAGGACCCTGTGAGCTGGAGGTGGAGGTGAGGAGGGAGGGTATGACAAAGTCATGGAGAGGCAACATAGGTAATGTGTGAAGGTGAGGAATTCCAAATGAAATAGAAAGTGGGGCCTGACTATCCTGTTTTCTTAGTATGATCCCTTTATTTGAAGATAGCATGGAACCTGGCGCATTTAAATGATATCTTGAAAGCGTACTTTTGGAATATATTGGCAAAACAAAGAAAGAGTTTGAAGAGAAAATTACTTTTAATAAGTAAAAACAAAAGAAAACAAAAAACTCCCCCCCCCAAAAAAAAAGCCCTTTAGGTAAGTGTATAACACCAAAAGGAGCACTTATACTATATGAGGTTATTTAAAGAATTTCTGGATTTAAAAAGCCTCATTCTATAGGAGAAATTGTGCTACCTGTAGCGATTGATATGGTTAAAATAATGCTGAATGAATCATATGCAAAGTAGTTTCAAGTAGCTTCCTTCTTGGATAATTACCATGAGAAAGAGAATTGTCCCCAAGTCTGAAGATCAGATGAAAAATTAAATTTTCCTATAATTTATTGCAAGTGGACGAAGCAACAGATGCAGTTAAAGATGCTCATTTGATTAAATGTGTTTGCTATATTATTGAAACTGATGCTAAGGAAGTTTTATTACTCTGCAAAGTTATTAATGACAAGGCCACTTCAAGAGGATTTTCAACATAATTAATGTATTTTAAATGAATACGCTATAATGTGGGGGAAGTGTACTGTGCTCTGCACTGACAGAGTGCCTAGGTTCAAAATGTGGTACCTCATGCATCTGGACACGTTGTGATCTTCACAAATAATTATGTCTTCCACCTCCATTCAGAAAGGAGGGGGATGTCATTTTTCAAGTGGTTAGAAGAGTAATCAATTTTTTAAAATGTCCATTAAAAGGAAGGTGATTTACAAAATTGAGTGATAATATAGGGACAGAGCTTAGGACATATCTATATTATCGTGACATGCTGAGTTTCTTATGGCAAAGTACTTTTAAAAGTGTCTTACCTAAAAGAAGAAATTTCCAGTTTTCTTAGTAATAATAACAAAAATGAAATAGCTATTTTATAACAAAAAAGTTCCTCCTGAAACTTGCATGTGTAGTGATTTTTTTTTAAAAGAGCACTTTAAACAAATGCAAAGTTTCAAAAATGTTTATCTAGGAAGATAAAATGAATGCATTTATGGAAAAAGTTAGCGCTATGGGCAATAATTTAAAATTTCTTTTAACATTTAAAGTTTTGAGTTTCAAATTCTATCCCTTCCTCCTCCCTGAGATGGTAAGCAATCAGATATAAGTTATGCATGTGCAATTATGTAAAACAGGTAATTAAAAAAATATTTTGGATATGTTTCCCAAATTTAAAAATACCCACCTTGCAAATGAAATAGGAAAAAAATTAAAGACCTAATTATAAATCCATTGACCAGTCTACAAAACAAATTGTCATTTTACTTTCAAGGTCTAGCTCTTTCTATATATGAATGGATAAGGAACCCATTTACCATAGCTAAATATTGTATATTTGGTATTTATCCAAACAGGAATGATTAATGGACTCGCATTGTAATAATAGACTGAAACATGTGCTTGAACCTGGAATTGTTTATTTATTTGTTTGCTTATTTTGTTACAAGTGAATAAAAAATTCTCTGGTTTGTTAAAAAAAAAAAGGTCGCACACAAATCTCACTCTTCATAACATCTTTGGGTGAAAGTGGTTCTAAAGACAAAATCTCATTAGTGGTTGAGAAAGATGACAATCGCTGTTTCTTCAGAGGCACCAGTTTTGAGAAACTGCACCCAAAAACCCACCCTGTTCATCACGTCCCACCACACAGGGTTATTACTTGTGTAATTTTAAAATATAAAAATTATGAGGGGTTTTTAAAATGAGGAAATGTCTGTTCTGTGGTACGCTTAAGATTTATTTATCCGTATTGTTACGAAACCGTAACCATGCTTTGTCTGAATAGATTCGAGGTGAGTGCACTGTTATGCAGATGGTTTGCTGAAGGGGCTGGGGGTGTGCAGCAAATTGTAAACAGTCATAGGAACACCATCACATAAAGCTTGGAACCCAAGGTCCTCGGAGGGTTTTCTGGAGACCTGGAGCTTTTTACGGATTTGCTTCTTTACTGTCATTAGCTGTGGGGAGAGAAGAAGTGGGTTCATGTCTAGACTCTCATTTACTAGCTGGGAGACCTTGGGCAAATCATTCAATTTCTGTACTTCAGTTTCCTTAGCTGTAAAATGGGTGCAGCCTCCATCCAGTGACGTGGTGCATGTAAAGTTTAAGTTTCCTAAACCATGCGTGGGAGTGATTGTTATTCCAGTTCTGGTGGGGGGGCAGCTCAGAGCCCCAGGGCCAGTGCAAATGGATCTCAGTCACTGCCTCAGGGAGGGTGGCTGGGGGCACTCACCAGACCCAACGAACAAAGAGCAGGGACCCTTGCCTCACTCTCTCTCATTTCCTCTCCCTCTTTGTCCCCTCCTGGTCCCTCTTCCTTCATTTCCCTTTGTTGTTTCTTCCTCTCTCCCTCCTCCCTCTTCCCCCTTCCCTCCTTTCACTGTTCTCCCCCTCTCCCTTCTTCCCTCCCTCCTTCCCTTCATGTTTTCACTCTTCTCTTTCTGTCTCTCCACTTTGTTTTGTCTATTTCCAGGATCTTTTCTCTCTCCTCTCTTTTGTCATTTTCTCTTCCCCCCCTCTCCCCGCTCCTTTCATAGCTCTCTCCCCCTCTGTCCTTCCCTCCTTCTTTCCTTCCTTCCTCTCTCCCTCCCTCCTTCCCTCTCTTCCTTCCTTTTCCTATCTCACAGGGTTGTTGTGAAGGTCAAGTGAAATAATCTGTAGAGCACTTAGCGCAGCACCCAGCACATTGCAGATGCCATAGAAATACTTATTCTCTTCCCTTCCCTTCCCCCTTTCCCTCTTTGCTTTTCTTTCTTTCTTTCTTTTTTTGGTCCTGTTTCTTTCTTCTCTCCAACATCTGGCTTCCTCTACCCTGTACTCTTCACTTTTATCTGCTTCTCTTGATCTTTTCCCTTCCTGCTTCATTTCTTCTTCCATCCCTTCCTGTTTCTCCAACCCTTCTTTCTTTGTTTCTCTTCTCTCCTCTCTCTTTCCTTCCCTCCCTCCTCTCTCTGTCTCTCCCCTTTTCCTACCTTTCCCCCCAATGCTTCTCTACTTTCCTCAGAGAGCCCCGGCTAGCACGGGCTGGTTTCTGCTTTCTGAGGCTGAGCTGAGTGTTGAATCCAAATCAGAACTTAGTCTGAAGCCTCAACACCTTGACTAACCTGAGCTGTTTTGTTAAAAGCATATCAGGTGTGTTCTAGGGAATGCACGCGCGCACACACATGTGCGTACACATGCACACAGAGTTAAAGGGCAGCTTTAGGAAGGGAGGGAGGTGTGGACTCCAGGTCAGCCAGCCTGGCTGGACTCTGCAACCTGAGGTTGCCCAGAAGATGCACAGGCCACGGCCAGGTCTGGGACTGCCATTGTTTCTGGCTGTGGGTCATCCCGCAGAGGGCAGTGCAGGACTGTGCCTCACAGGAGGCTGGAGCTGCATCTTGTTCCTGCCTGCTGCTAGCTCCCCAGTGTGAAGTTGTCTCTCTTCTCTCCTCTTCCGGTCGGTTACTCTCTCTTTCTCTGGCCTCTTTCCTCACCTGAGCAGGCAGCAGAGTGTCCTGCCTGCCTTCCCCCTGCTCCTCCTACCTTCTTCCCCCCCTCCGTTTGCTCTGATGCCCAATCACTTGCCCCCCTATTGAGGACCCCAGGCCAAATGCCTCCAGGTGAGCTTGGGGTTACCATGCCACAGTGAGCGGTTGTCAGAGGGCACCATGGAGGAATTGAGTAGCCATACACTATTCAGGTTCTACCATGGGTTCCTGGGATCATCACTTTAGAGTTGGAAGGACCCACCTAGGCCTGAGTCCTGGCTCTGCTTTAATTGGGGAAGAATCTATTGCCTCCAGGATCAAATACAAAAGCCCCTACTTGCCATTCAAAGCCCCCTCCCACCTTTCCTTCAGGAGCCCGTCCCCAACACACACACCAGTCTTCCTGAACTGTACTCCCCATCACATAGCCTCCCTCCCCAGCCTCCTGGCTGTTCCATCACCGGAGCCCCTCCATCTCTCTGCTCTGGATATTCTCTCTGGCCCGCCCCCATGCCTGGAACACTTTCCCTCCTCTGCTCTGGCTACTCACCTCCCCAGGCTCCTTAAGGCCCCAACTCAGGTCCCAATCCTTCTTCGTTTCAATGTCTTCCCTCGGTTAATTATTCCCTATTAATCCTGGATCTGGCTTGCTTTGTATGTATTTGTTTTCATATGTGTGTGCCCATTCGATTGTGAGCTTCCTGAGGGCAGGGACTGGCTTTCGCCTCTCTTTGTGCACTGGCACTTGGGAGGTGCTTAGTGTTCGATTGATTGAGGCCCCAGCTAGCGTACCCAAGGGGCAGGAGCAGCGGGACCCAGCTCCTCTGGCCACAAATAAAGAGCACCTTTCCCACTGCCGAGAAGGCCCCGGGTCAGAGCCACAGCCCTCCTCCCTGCGGTCCCGTCCGAAGGCTCCGGGCCGTGGGCTCCTGAGGCTCCTCTGGTCTGGCATGCAGAGTCAGACACTGTGAAACCTGAATCCTCCTTGGGGTTATTTAAACATCATGCTCGCCTCGATGACAGTGGAATGTTTGCTTATGGCCCGTGAATCATCCTCGGTATTACCTAGGAAAACAGCTCCATCAGCTCCAGTTAGAGCATTAGCCACTACTGCCAGCCCCTGTAATCCACCCAAGGGAGCTGCAGCAAATGCCAGCCAGAGCGGACCCTCACTTTTCTGCCCCCTGTGCAAGGGCCCGCCCTCGCCTTAGGCCTCACCACAAGCGTAGAGGCCGAAGGGCTGCCTGGCTACCTGACTGCAGGTTAGCCTTCTCTTGCTAACCTGTAGGGTGAGGGCAAGAACCTGGGTCCTGTGGTATCTCTGTGGATCCTGGGGAGCAGGCAGCCTGAGCAGCTGCACCTTCCACACAAAGCAGGAGACAACCTCAGGGATCACTGGGTCCCACCCATACCGGAAAAACAGAAACTCCTCTGGAGGACACCTAGCCTCTGTTTGAACACTTACAGGGATGGGGAGCTCATTCCCAGGGCGTCTACACCAGCCTCTGGTCCCCTGGATTCTATGGAAGCTGTTTGTGGCCCAGCCAATGGAGGAGGCCTGAGCTAACTGGCCTGCCCATGAGTTCTGAACCAAGATGGTATGTTTCTGGGATAAAACCCACACCAGCATTTGATTTTTCAAGTTCAGACAAGATCTACTCCCCCCTCCCCTTCCCATGGGTGAGGCTAATCCTTTCTCACTGACTGACATGCACTCAGTGAGGCACAGAATCAATATTAACATCTAGGAGGCAGGTGGGGTGTGGGGTGAGGGGGGGACGCTAAGGAGGACTCAGCAAACTTCCCAAAGGAGACCCTGAACTTGGGCACATTTATTCATTACCTCGCCCCTTCTATCTTGAATTCTTTACCTTGGTATCAAACCCCAATCCCAAACCAACACTATTCCAAGCACCTCTGCAAAAGGTGGGTCAGTATCCTCACCAAGACGGAGCCGTCTGCCTGTCTGTCTGTCTGCATCTGGCCAAACTGCCCTGGCCCCAGGCCTCAACATTCTCTTCCTTCCCCTATGGAATGTTTCTTCGTATGGTGCTGTGATGCCTCTCTCTCCTATCCAAGATTTCCTTAAGTGTCCCTACCTTGTAGTTCACCCAAGTTCAATAATAATAGCCTACATTTATTGTGTTTAGGGACACACACATATATGTGTATGTGTATGAGAGACAGACAGACAGACCTGGGGAGGAGATTAACAAATGTCTGTGGAATTAAATGGACTCTGACCCAGTACTGGGAGGGACCAGGAGATGGGGAGAGCAGAGTCAGGTGTTTGGAGTTTCCTGAAATCTCTGCAAGCCTAATGGAAGCATGGAATCTCCTGGTGAGAAGGGGCCTCAGACATCCTTCCCAGCCTCCTGGTCCTCATAATATGATGCCATCGGAAAACCACTGGAGTTGAAGCTACAACTTTTCTCCTAGCATATGATGTCTTAAGCTGAATACTGCCCCCCCATTGTGGTCCATCCATATGTCCAGGGCACTGTACGGCCCACGGGCTGCAAGGCCACATGTGACTCCAATTGAGCTGGTGGTCAGTAAGCTTCCCATCTTCTCCAGATAGGTTGGCCCTCCCTGTTTTTCCTTCCCTCCTCTCTCTCTCCTTCTCTGTCTCTCTCTCTCTCTCCTTCTCTCTTCCTCTCTCTCCTTCTCTCTTCTTCTCTCTCCTTCTGTCTCTCCTTCTCTCTCTTCCTCTCTCTCTCCTTCTGTCTCTCCTCTTTCCTTCTCTTGCTCTCTCTCCTCTCTCTCTCTTCCTCTCTCTCTCCTTCTGTCTCTCCTCTCTCTCTTCCTCTGTCTCTCCTTCTCTCTGTCTCTCCTCTCTCTCTTCCTCTCTCTCTCCTTTCTGTCTCTCCTTCTCTCTCTCTTCCTCTTTCCTTTTTGTCTCTCCTTCTCTCTCTCTCTGTCTCTGTGTCTGTCTCTCTCTTTCCCTCTCCCCCCCCCCACCTCTCTTCCTCCCTTTCAGGCAGGCCTTGGTCCTGGGCAGTTTCTAATAAGTCATTTCCATCATCAGTAACATTCCTGATGTTTTTAGGAAAGGTATCTAGAAGCCAAAGGAGGCTACGATACTTTCCAAAGTTGACAAATGATGTCTGTCAAAAATATGACAAGTCTGGGAAGTCTGGGAGTGAGAATTAGCAGAGTCTGATGAATCACCAGTTTCTTTGTGAACTCCATCCCAACTTGGGCCTCCCAGCTCTGAGCCATTGGGTGATAAATTAGACCTCCTGCAATCACCATTTCTCGAGGTGCTGCCATCATGTTTCCCCTGCAAGATCATTTTTCTCTCTGTCCTAGATACACATATCCACCATCCACAGATAAGTCCTGGTTGAACTGAGCTGAACTCAATCTTCCAAGTGTTTAGTGGACATGCACTGAAGGACTGTCACCAGGAAGAGAGCTGCATCTCGTTCTGCTTGGTCTGGAGGATGCAGGGCTGAAAGTCCCAGGGAGGCAGCCCCTGGTCCTCA